CCTTCTGCTTCACAGGGAGAACACCTCTGGTTATTGCACAACGATGCTATAGAGAAGGTGGAAACCAGCCTTTCCCCATCCCCAGCCACTTCTGGAAAACCCCAAGGAGGTTGCTCACCATCCAGTTCCTCCACGGAGATATTTGCTAGCTGTTCACTGTCACTGCCAGCAGAGAGTGTGCGGTTCAGGTAGTTGCCTTTGTACAACAAGCCAGCTGTCACATGGTGGAATGGCATCTTCTCCCTGGGGGCAAGGAAAAAGGGGAGAGAAAGGCTTATTTTAATTTTCTTTTTTTGTCCTGGGTTTATTTGAACAGTACAATAGCTTGCCTTGAAAGAGGAGCTGGACCAAAGCATCCTACACCAGGGAACACGTGCTGAAGCTGGGTGCGTGACTGATGGATTACAGATTTTATTTACTGTCTAGGACTGGAGCTAAACAAACAAATGAAAAAGCAGCAGCTTCTTTATGCCAAACTAGCAGAGACAGCACAGTGGTGCCTTAGGAGGAGTCTCTAGCACTCATACTGCAGCTTTCAGCCTACAGATTGGTTATTTGATAATAATTATATAGGGCACAGGGGTCAACACTGACGTGCAATTAAAAAGTCACAGGATCCAGCAGCATGACTTTCAAAGCCATGCAAGAGTCTGGCCACCAGCTCTCAGACCCTATTCCAGAGCATCTAGACCCCTAAGAGGGTTCAACCCCCGTGCCCAGAGCACCCACACTGAGCATGATGCACCTCACAGCAATACCTCCACCCCAGACTTCAGTGGCTTTCGCTGAGAGAAGAAAATTCACATTCGAGCAGGACCCGACAAAGAACATTTTCATCTCACAAATATGACAGCTAAGGAAAAATACTGCTCAATGGGAGGCTGGAGCAGCAAAGTGTTTGCAAACTTAGCAGGTATAAACACCGCAGCCTAGTGAAGGGCAGCCATCTGCACAGACAAAAGTGGAAATTACTGTCAGCAGCACTTACCCATTGATTTAGGATACACAAGAAAGAGGCAAGTTTGCCAAAGTCAATTGAAGTATTAAGAGGAAGATTTGTCATCCCCTTGGCTGGTTTCAATCAGCACAGCCCCATCATGGGCCTACTGCATCTTATACTGTATGTTTCCAGCAGATATAAATCAACATAGTCAACAGAGCCACCCAGACATCAGCTAAGGATCTGGCCCAGGGTCTCCACAGGGGCTGGAAGGTGGCCAGGACACGCTGGGCAGTAGGGTTTGGAACAGACCATCAATATAAACTTATATGGCAACTTTGGCAGATCTCACCCCTACTGGTGGGGGACACAGCCCCTTGGAAATAAACTCCAAGGGCATTGTCACTACAGTCACGCCAGGACATCAGCTTCCTTTGCCATGAAGAGATAAGTGCCACCTACTGAATCGTTCTCCAGCCAACACTACAATTACAAGGATGATCTGGCTCTTACTCAGCCATATGTTCTTACCACAGTCAATTAAACAAATATATATATACACACACATATATATGCATTAATTTTGTAACAAATGCCTTCTCGTCTCACTGAGTTAGTAAAAGCTTTAATAGACTCACCCAAAGCAGTCTAACCTCGAGACACAGGAGGGAGAAGAAGAAAAGCCATGAGGTTTCTCTTGCACTGCTTAGCACGTACCTAGAATTTCTCTTGCAGTAATTATGTAAATAATCCTAATCGTACTTTTAAGTATTTTTATTTGGGAGCCAGTTTCTTCAGCAGCACATTAGAAACTGTAAACAAGGTTTTTCTCTTTCATTAAGCATATCTGTAATTTCCCAGCACTTGCCAATTAATGTATTTCTTTCTGATACATTGCTCACTCTGACATATTGCCCTGCACTAAGATGGGAATTTTGTTTTTCCCCAGGAAGCCACATGGGTGATGCCACCTTTGGTACCTCTCTAGGCTCTGACAAGCAGAGCTGGAGAGACACTTCCCACCCTTTGCACCATCCTCATTAGCTTCCAGTCCCACCACAAAGTACTCAGGCAGCAACTGATGCATGTCCCCTCCCCACAATCACACACCCAATGTAAAAGCAATTACACAGGTTTTCAAAACCCAATCAAAGAGATTTAAATCTAACACCTGCAATGGCCCAGGTGGAGCTGCAGGATCAGTTTGCACTGCAAACACAGCGTGTGAGGAGCCCATGGGGCTGGGGACCCCAATCCCTGGGTGAAGGGAGTCCAGCCCCTCACACTCTCTGAGCTCTCCCACGGCTGGAGTAGCTGCAAGCCATGGGTTTAGGTGTACAAAAGCATTTCTGAAATCACTTTCTGTGCTTTGTTTCCACAACCATTAAAAAAAAAAAAAGACAATGCATCTCCCCTGAGGGTTTAAGTGCTTAAAAACATCTCCCACCTGGGATCCTGTAATGCCTTTTAGTACTGGGGGGATGACCCATGATATTGCAGAGGGAGAAATTGTGGTTTAAATTCTACCACCTAGGTATTTTTTTTTTATTTTTTTTTTTTAATTGCAATATTATTCAACAGAAACCCTGCAGAGCTGATGGAATTCAGCAGCTCTCAGCCTGCCTCCAAGGTTTAACAAGAGATGCTAAAAGCTGGACCAGCAGCAGCTCCAGCACCAGATGTCCAGGCATACACATGCAGGAGTGCTCAGCCCCCTGCAGACAGGAGCCTGTGGCCAAAACTGAGCCTTCACAGGGGGAGAAATGGGCAAAAAGGGGGGTTGTGAGGTGTGTGTTGTAGGAGAGTCCCTACAGCAAAGCACCACGTTTTGCAAAACACCCTGTGCTGAAAGACATAAAACACTCGATGGCACTAAGTGGGTGCTTGATGCCTGTCTGGGAACAAGGGTCTGTCCTAGCACAGCCAGATGGGTCCAGGCTCGTTCTGAATTTAGCCAAAATGTCTGTGTTAGAAACGCAATAACCTTGAGCTTGTCTATGGCTGCTCCTTCCAGCACCAGCTGAGACCTTGGGTCAACACAAAGCACACGTGAGCCGGTGCTGATGGGATCCATCCCCACCACAGGGATGCCCTTACCAGGCTCAGATGCTGGTGCCGACAGCTTTCCATCCCTTCAATGTGTTAAATTTGCAGCAACGTGCTCTCATTTCCTCTGGAGGGGAAGGGGGAAGATGCCCCAGCTCGTGCCCCATTTTACAGAGCTGCACCACAAGCCTCTGAGCAGGCAGCTAAGCAGTGAGCTTCGCTCTCCATCTCCACGCACTCAACCCAGACACATTTTCCACTGAACAACCCCCAAGCCCAAAGCCCTTTTCAAAGACATAGCAGGATTTCAGAGCGACAAAATCTCCTTGAATAATATCATGAAAACATTGACATTTAACCAAAAAGCCCTGAAAGAACCCATAAACATGTGTGTGGAAATGTTACCGTGGTACCTTGCCAAGGTTTCGGTCTCTGCGCCAAGCTCACCAGCAGGTTATATCCCCCGCAACGCCCGGCAGCAGCACTGCCAGCCTCGCTCCTGCCTCTCAGCACAACCACAGTTGTGAAATTTGTAAGATGTTCGTAAGCAATTTGCCATCAGGAGAGGAAAAAAAAAAAGGCAGCTACATGATGCTCACATGTCTACGCTCGCTCCGGTTCGCGTTCCTCGCCAGCTCCTTGTGAGCTGGTTTTTAAAAAGGCTTTCAGACCCAATTGAAAATCCACACAACTATTAAACTGGAAGGTTTAGCTTAAGTATCAGCCAACGAGATGAAATCAGGATCAATTTGTATTGATCCTTGGTAGTTACCCATTTGGAAAAGATTTCTTGCTCACCCCTCCCCTATGTGCAGCGCAAAATGATGCCCAAGAGTTGGTCCTGGCTTTCCAGCCTCAGGCACAGACACACACCATCACCTGCACTGCCTGGGTGTTATGCCTGGCCAGGACTGTGCATTTGCCTCCTCCATTCACCTGTAATTTGGTGGATCTTTGCTGCTGCCCAGCAGGTTGTACATGACCTCTTTCATTTTCTATGAAATAACAGGTCCCCATTCTGGATGCTGACCAGCCCCAGAGCTACTGCCCCATGGACATCAAACAGAACAGGCAGGAATGATGTTGCTGAGGGACCGTGGGAAGATGGCAGAACTGAGATCTCCATCTCTCCCACAGATCTGACTGAGGTTTAGCAGAAGGTTCAAGCTGGTAGTATGGGAGAACACACATACATGGGTGGACAAGCACACACGTGTGGTACAACAGCATAAGCTTCATTCTCTTATGAAACCAGGCTAAAAAAAAAATCCAGGAATACAGAGAAAATCCATGAAGCAACCAGATGGTAGGGAAACTGGAACAGTAGCTGTAAAGTCCCCCAGCTCACTCTAAAACCTTTTAAAAATGCATCAAATGAAGTAACGGCGTTAAAGTTGCTTCTCACTGGGCAGAGCAACATCCCAACTTCTAAGGCAAGTAAGAGTGGTGACTTCCAAAAAAAATGATCTCATTTTCCCCAGAGACAAACAATTGCTGTTATCTTTTCAGGTAGGCTATGTGGTATCTAGCTGGATCCAAAGGGAAGAGCAGAGCAAACAGACCCCTGACTATCACCTGGGAAATTCCTGGGCTGGTTGATCCTCCATGCTCCGGGCAGGAGGCATCAGTCAGGAGACACAACCAGCTTTCCAAAGAGTCTCCACTGCTCTTCTGGTACATTTTCCTTCCACTGCTGCCCATACACTGATCCCTTCCCTCTCTCCCAAGGAGCTAGTAACAGCTGAGGATCATGGCTAGCTCATGCTCTCTGGCGTGGAAGCAACAGAGCTGGACTAAATCCCCACGTGTTTGTAGGCAATATAGTTAAAAGAAGACAAGTGTTTTGTTGCAGACACGTGGCTTTGACAAAATCCTTCTGCTAAGAAGAGCACTGAGTCTCTTTGTCCCTTATCACCTGCATTCAATGCTGTTAACAATAGCTCTAAAGATTTTATTGGTTGTTTTTTCTTTTTGTAATTTATTCTGTGCAAAAACTTGACGCCTCAAATGCAATATGAGCCCAAGCTACTAAAAGAAATTCTGAAGGGCCCAAAAAAGTCTCATTCTCGTATTGGGAGGGGGATGCAGAGAAGAGGAACACATCGAGAGCTCTGTAATGAGGTGTGAGAATTTAAGCTGCTGCAATAAAATGCAGAAGTCTTGTTTAATCAGTCTCAACTCAGGTGTGTAAAGAGACACAGGGATAAAAGTGTGCTCAGGCAGATGGCTTTTGCTGTAGCTACAAAATCA